TAATATAAAAATTATTATAATGATGAAATAATGATAGCAATAATGATAATGATAACAATCATGATAATAAAAACAATGATTATAAGAAGAATCATAACAACAATGATGATAATAGTAGTGATAATAACACTGAACAACGAGACCTTAATGCGAATTAGAAAAGTTCCTATGAAAGCTGCTCTTGCGAAGGACGAGGTACTGAAGTCGCTCTGTCATGGCATAGGAAATTGTGTCTTCGAAAATAGATGCTTAAATGATGATAGTAAAATGATAATCAAAGGAAAGTTATTTTTATGTTGCCACTATAATGGTGTAGTAAAGTTATTATTGTCTTTTGTTTATTTTTTTCTCTTTCTACGTAATACCATAGAAAAGTTATATTAATCCCAGTAAAATCTAAACTAACGCAAACAAAAGTTACCTCCATTATTTTCTCTACTTACGACGAAAAAAAACAAAAACAAAACAAAAACAAAACAGAATTTCAGATCATTTTTGTTTCCACTGAAATATGCTTCAAGTCGATTCCGATTAAGAAAGTTTCCCTTTCCTGTTTGCTATAACAAGATCTCATTGTTCACTCGCAAGTAAGTGTTTGGTTGCACTTAAACCTATATTGCTATTCCGTCATTCACATTATGCAATCTTTATCCGGATATGTTCATGTACGGTTCATGTGTTGCAAGGATTTTTATTTATTATTATTTTTTTTTTTTTGTGTACAGGGTGTTAGAAAATTGGGGAATGAAGTTGTAAAGGCTGAAAAAAGAATCTTTTTGAAAATCAATTGATCTTATTTACATTTTTTTGAGAGAGAAAGAGAGAGAGAGAGAGAGAGAGAGAGAGAGAGAGAGAGAGAGAGAGAGAGAGAGAGAGAGAGAGAGAGAGAGAGAGAGAGAGAGAGAGAGAGAGAGAGAGCAAATGGACACACAAACAGACGATATAAGGAACCAATAAGAAAAAAATAAGATAAACAAACAAATAAAGAAAGCTAACAGACAAACAAACCAATGATAAAGATAAGAAAGCAAAGAAAAAAAGGAAAAAAAGAATGAAAGGCAACCCCCGCACCCCTACCCCCCAAAAAAAAAAAAAAACACGAAGGAGAGACGAGAAGGAAAGGAAACCACAAAGAAAGAAAGAAAAAACACACGAAGGAGAAAGGAAGCCACGAAGAACAAACAAACACGAAGGAGAGACTAGAAGGAAAAAGGAAACCACAAAGAAAGAAAGAAAGAAAAACACACGAAGGAGAAAGGAAGCCACGAAGAAAGAATTAAAAAAGAAAAAAAAAAAAAAAAAAAAAGTTACCGCAGGCCACACGGAATTGCAGCGCGAGAATGAATGACCCTTTATGCCATTTCTCGTAACCTATTATCGGGAACTTTGATAAGAGGTCGCGGGGAGAGGCTGATATAAGAACGACCTCGAGTTTGTGTTCAGGTACGACCCCCCCCTTTCCCCCCTCTCTCTTCCTCCCTTTCGCTTCCTCTTTCTTCTCTCCGTCCTCCTTCTTTTTCTCCTCCTCTTCTTCCTTTCTTTCTCCCTCCCCTTCTTCTCCTTTTTTTTATTTCTCCTCCTCCTTCCCCCTTCTTTATTTCTTCCTCCTCCTTCTTCCTTTCTTTCTCCCTCCTCCTTCCTCCTTTCTTTCTTCCTCCCCCCTTCCCCCTCTTTCTTCCTCTCTCCTCCTTCCGCCGTCTTTATTTCTTCCTTTCTTTCTTCTTCCCTCCTCCTTCCTCTTTTCTTCCTCCCTCCTCCTTCCCCCTTTTTTATGTTTCCTTCCTCCTTCCCCTTTCTTTCTTTCTCCCTCCTCTCCCTTCTTCCTTCCCCTTTCTTTATTTCTCCCTCCTCCATCCCCCTTCTTTATTTCTCCCTCCCCCCTTACTCCTTCTTTCTTTCTCCCTCCTTGCCCATCTTCCTTCCTCCTATCTCCTCTCTGCATTTGTGTAATAGCTCGTGTTTGTTTGTTTATATTTGTTGTTAGGAAAATTAAATGAACAAATTCTTAGATGATTAAGGACATAATAATTACCAAATCTAAAATTACATGTTATACATATACATGCTATACATATATCTAAATATATATATATATATATATATATATATATATATATATATATATATATATATATATACATATCATTCAGACACAACTCCTCTCCTCTTTCCCCTTCCCCTCCACCCTCTGCCCCTCCCACAACCCCCCCCCCAAGAAAAAAGAAAAGAAAAGAAAAGAAAAAAAACCTTACGAATATTTCCCATCTCTCTCTGTATTATAACAACACGCGACTCCCCAACAACCCCAACAACCAAACACGACTATTAGTGAATTCTGGCTATTTTCAAATACACAACTACCTGTTTCTGCGTCCTGATTGGTTCTCTCCCGTCACCCTTCCATCGTTTCTGGTGATTTGATGATGCTGTAACAAGTAATAACGAAACCATTAGACCAATCACTGCTTTAACGAGGAGGGGGAGGGGGGGAGGGGGAGAGGAGAGAGGAGAGTGAGACGTATAAGAGAGGGCGGGAGAGGCGAGAGAGGAGAGAGAGAGAGAGAGAGAGAGAGAGAGAGAGAGAGAGAGAGAGAGAGAGAGAGAGAGAGAGAGAGAGAAATCAAAAGTCAGAGATAAGAGGAGTGAGAGAAAGGAGGGAGAGATGATGGAAGCAAGAGAAAGAGATACGAGAGGAAAAAGAGAGGAAAGGAAGGAATAAAGGGAGAGAGAGACAGAGAAACCGGTTGAAGTGAGAGTAAAGATACGAAAATAATTACGAAAGTAGAGATAAGAAGAAAGAGGAAGAGAGAAGAGGCAAGAACAGGATAGGTAAATCAAGGTGATGAGAGAGAGAGAGAGAGAGAGAGAGAGAGAGAGAGAGAGAGAGAGAGAGAGAGAGAGAGAGAGAGAGAGAGAGAGAGAGAGAGAGAGAGAGAGAGAGAGGAGAGAGAGAGAGAGAGAGAGACAGACAGACAGAGAGAAGGAAAAGGAGGGAGAGAGTAGGGTCAAAGAGGAAGGAAGGAAAGGGGGAGAGGGGAAGGGACCAAATGAAGGGGACAAGGGAGAGAGAAAAGGGGAAATTCGGGCATTAAGAAGAGCCCAAGGCGTTTTCGGGGAAGCGGGAAAGTGAAGTTGATTTGCGATGGTGATAATTTGATGGTAATATGGTGATATTTTTGTTTCTGACATCTATCTGCAGATCTGTCCATCTGTCTGTCTATATGGTTATTTGCCTGTCCGTCTGTCTATATGTTATTCCATCTATCTACTTATATATCTTATTAAGCATTCTCTCTCTCTCTCTCTCTCTCTCTCTCTCTCTCTCTCTCTCTCTCTCTCTCTCTCTCTCTCTCTCTCTCTCTCTCTCTCTCTCTCTCTCTCTCTCTCTCTCTCTCTCTTCTCTCATATATATATATATATATATATATATATATATATATATATATATATATATATATATATATATATATATATATATAATATACATATATATATACATATACATATATATGTATGTATGTTATACATTGTGTGTGTTATATATATATATATATATATATTATATATAGTATATATATACTAATATATATAGCATATATATATATTATAATATATATATATATATATATATATATACATACATAGCATACATTATAGTATGTATGCACACACACACACACACACACATAGATATATATATATATATTAATATATATATATATAATATATATAATATATAGATATATTATATATATATAGTATACATCTATATATATATATATAATAGATAGATAATAGATAGATATATAGATATATATAGATATATAGATAGATAGATAGATAATAGTATATAGATATAAATCTCATCTATTCATCTATTCATCATTATTATCTCTCTATCTTTGTATCTATCTTTTCTATATACCTTTTTTTCTAGACCTATCAAATACACTTCGCCTCGATAAGGAAAGGAAAAAAAGAAAAACAAAATTCGATGGGATAGAAATACGAATAAAAAGGAAATAAAAAAGAAATTAAAAAAATAGAGTATCGTTGTTTGTGTTAAAAAGGGTTGAAAAGAATAAATTGGTAAAGAGGAAGGAAGAAGAAGCAGATAAGATTAGACAAGAGGAATCGATAAAAAAATACTGAAATATAAGAAAAAAAAATGAATTGATTGATGATAGAGGCAAATCAAAATTAATTTTTTCCTCGTGATATATGACTAAGATTTTCAGACGCTTATATTACTCTCTCCTTCTCCTTCTTTCCTCATTCCTTCCTCCCTCTTTCTTTAACTCCTTATTTCTTTCTCTCTTTTCTTCACTCTTCCTTCTTTGCTTCTCCTTTCCCTCCTTTCTCCTTTTTTTCTCCGCTCTCCTGGCCTATCACTATCCTCTGTCTCTCTTCTTTTCTCTCTCTCTCTCTAGCTCTTTGATTCCCTCCCTTGCCCCCTTTCTCCTTCCCTCCCTACCTCTCCTCCCCTATTGCCCTCTCTTTCCCTCCGGCCCTCTCCCTCTTCCCTCCCTCCCTCCTTTTCCCTCCTCCCCTCTTTCCTCCCCCCTTTCTCCTCCTCTCTCTCGCCCTCCCCTCCCCCTCCACTTTTCCCCCCTCCTCTCCTCCCTCCCTCTCCCTCCCCTTCTCCTCCTCCTCTACCTCCCTTCCTCCCAGCGCTTCCTTCGCCCCTTGTTGTGTTACCCATTTCAGCTTTTTGCCCCGCGATAGCAAGTAAATACGTAGCAATTTTGGCCAATCACAGACCGCGCAAGAGGAGAGGAAGGGAGTTACCACGGGAAGGGGAGGGAGAGGAAGTGGTGGAGAGGGAGGGAAAGTAGAAAGATGAGAGAGGGTGAGGGAGGGAGGAGAGAGAAGGTGGAAGGAAGAGAGGGGAGGGGAGGGAGGGTGGGTGGGAGGGGAGAAGAGGAGAGAGGAGGGTGGAAGGGAGGGAGGAGGGGATGGAAGTGGGTGGAGAGAGAGAGGAGGAGATGAGAAGAGGAGAGATGGGGAGAGGATGAGAGGGTGGAGGGAGAGGGATGGGAAGAGGGAGAGGGAGGGGAGGGAGGGTGGTTGGGAAGGAGAGATGAGGGAAGGAGAGGAGGAGAGGGAGAGGAGGTGGGAGAGGTAAGGAGGAGAGGAAAGCGTGAGAGAGAGAGAGAGAGAGAGAGAGAGAGAGAGAAGAGAGAAGAGAGAGATGAGAGAGAGAGAGAGGAGAGAGAGAGAGAGAGAGAGAGAGAGAGAGAAGAGAGTGAAGGATGAAGAGGAGGGGAAAGGGAGGAAGGGAAGGAAACGAAGGGAAAGAAAAAAGGGAGAGACGGAGAGAGGGAGGGAACTAGGTAAGAAGAGAGGGAGAAAGGAAGGGAAGAGAGACACCATCAAATGTTCAATGAAAGAGAAGCTCCAGGATCATTAACTCATTAATTAAGAGCAGTTTGTTACACGTGGATGACAATCGGTCAGGTGTGCTTTACGCTTTCTCATTTCTTTCCGTTTTCTGTTCAGTTTTAGTCGATTTCACTTACACCCTGTATATATATATATGTATGTATGTATATATGTATAATACATATTTATATATATGCATATATGTACACACATGTATGTACATATTCTCCCTTCTCCTCTTCTTCCTCCTACTCCTCTCTCGCTTCTTCTTCTTCCTTAATATCAATTTCCTTTTCCTGCTTCCCTATTCTCATATCTTTCTTGAATTCCTTTCGTCCATCTTCGGCCTGAAATGAGAGAAATATATATTTTTTTTAGCATTTCACGCATAAAAAAGAAATGTAAGTGAAAATTACGAAAGAAATAAACAGTAAAACAACAGATAAAAAAATGAATAGGTATCTGTATTCATCTATTTATGTATTGATCAATCGGTCTATCTATTTCACCTGTGTGTTGTTATATAAGTTATCATCGTGATCATTATCATTGTTGATAATGATGATGACGGTCACGATTATAAACGAAGTGAAGAAAGTGCGAGAAAGACCGCTAAATTTGATGGTAAATCATCAAATAACAAAAAATAACTAAAATCCTAAATAACTAAAAAATCCTAAAAAAAAAAAAAAAAAATTAGCTAAAACTAAAATTTGATGGTAAATCATCAATAACAAAAAATAACTAGAAGTACTTAAAAAACGCATACCTCCGCCAAGGCAATAGAGTCTCTGATGTAATAAAAAAATTTCACATTTACATCAAAATCACTCTCACTCTTTCTCAGGTACACTCGTGACGTTCGCGGTTCTCTATTTTGCAGTGCTAATCAGTCATAAAATTCTCTTCATTATTTTTTAGTTATCCTGAGCAGAATCCAGATCATGATTCGAATCACCACTATGGCATATTGATTGACCTAACCTCTGATAACAAATTCATAAAAATCTGTTCATAACTTTTTGAGTTATCCTGCTAACCAACTAACCAACAAACTAAGCAACGATACCAAAAACATAACCTCCTTGGTGGTAATAATATAATTAATAATATAATAATAATAATAATAATAAGAATAATAATAATGATAAAAATAATGAAAAAAAACAATAAAATAATAATAATAGCAATACAATAGCAATGATGATATAATAATAGCAATGATAATAAATAAATAATGCACTATGATAATGATAATAATATTGATAATGAAGGATATTCATAATGTATAATGATAACAATAATAAAATGATAATAGTACTACTACTATAAGAGAATATAATATAATGATAAATATAATCAGTACAATACTACTACTAATAGTAAGAAAAACAATGATAATGATTAACAAAGGAACAACAATGATAATAATAGTAATAATGGATTATGGTGATATTAAGTGATGATGATAATAATAATTACTATAATAATGATAATGATTATATGATCTTCATTTATTTCATTATAATTTTTATCACTTGTCATTACTATAATTAGCATTATCATCATGATCACTTCACTTTCATTTCCTCTCGTGGCCGACAGGGTAGAGGCGCCCAATTCGAATTTGCGATCGCGGGTTCGGATCAACTGAAGGAAGGATTATTATCATATTGTTATCGTTATTTATCATTATTATATTGTTATCATCATTCGTTTTTGTTATCATTATTGTCCTTTGTTATTATAATTTTTTATCATTCGTGTTTATTATTATTATCATTATCATTATCATTTTATAATAATTATCGTTAATATTATCATTATTATTATTATTCATTATTTATTATTTTTTTATTATTATAATTTTTGTTACCATCATTGTTGTTATTTTTGTTGTTTGATTAATTATTGTTCATCCTGCATTACACCTTGCACTATATACATATTCAGTGTCCTTGTCTGACGGATAATCATAAAGTTAAAATCAGATATTTTTTTTTTTCTTTTTTAGTTATTAAAAATATGCTGAATCGCGTAAAAAGGAAATCGTCGATTTTTATCACAGTAAAAATATATAAAAATCTACATAGGTGAGTATAAATGTAAATGTATGGATATATGTGTGTGTGTATATATCTGAGTATTTCTATGTGTGTACATGTGAACGTTTCTGTGTAAGTGTATTATGTGAGTGTTTTGTGTGATTGGTTAGGGATGTGTAACCAGCGGTTTTCCGAAGCCAGCGACCGGCAAGGGGCATCTGCAGGAATCCGTGCTCCCGCCATCCGCCTCCGAGACGCGGCGGTGAATCGCGGGACCGAACGCTCATCCCGAAGTAGGCCCCCCCCCCACTTCCACCCCAGCCTGGAGTCGAGTACTATATCCACTCGGCCATGGCGGTCGCTTGCAGAAACGGCAAATTGTTTTTTGAACTGATTGTCCTCGATGTGGATGAGTGTGTGTGTTCGTATGTGTGTGTCCGTGTGTGTGCATGTATGTATGTGCCCGTGTGCATGTAGGTGCAATAATGATAATAATAATGATTATAACTAGAAGTACTCAGAAAGCGCATACCTCGCCCATGGCAATAGGGTCACTGATGCAACCAAAATATTCCCACTTGAAGAATTACGTTAAAATCGCCTCTTTCTCAAGTACACAGGTGACATTCGTAAACATAACCACCTTTGCGGGAGTAATTAAGTTAACGATAATATCAATAGTTACCCCTTTTGCCCATCTCTGCAATTATTTTTAAAATTCCTGGATACGGTTCATAATCCGGATCAAAATTTAACGGACGTAAGACTTTTATAAAAATCTGTTCACAACTTTTTGAGTTATCGTGCGAATTGATTAACAAACAAACTAATTCACTAACTAGAAACCTAACCAACGCTACTAAAAACAGGTCAATAGGTAATGAAGCTAATAATATTGGTAATAATTAATAATAATAATAATTATGATATTGATGATAACAATAATGAGAATGATAATAATGATAATGATAGTGATAATAATGATAATGAAACTAATAATAGTAATAATAATAATGATAATTATGATGATGAAAATGGTAGTAACAAAAGTAATAACAATGATAATGATAATGATGAAAATGATGATGATGATGAAGAAGAAGAAAGAAAAGGAGAAGAAAACAGTAATTCTTGGCCTTTTCTTATCACCCCTTCTCTCCCATCTCCCATTTACCCCTCCCCCTTCCCTTCCCATTACTTAACTCCCACCGTAACACACCCTCTACCACACACCCTTACCACAAACCCTTCCCCCCCCCCCCCCCCCTGCCACACTCCTGTACCACTCCCTCCTCCTACCACACTCCTGTACCAACACCCGTTACCACCCCCTACCTTCCCCTCCTCCTCACACCCGTACCCCCCCCCTACCACACACCCTTAACACAAACCCTTCCCACCACCTACCACCCCCCTATCCCACCCTCTACCATCACCCCCTACCACACTCCTGTACCAACACCCCCTACTACACCCTCTACCACCCGCACCTACCACACTCTTGTACCACAAAACCCGTTCCACCCCCTACCACTCCTGTACCACTCCCTCCCTACCCCCCCCACCACCCGCACCTCCCCCCTCGCCTCAACGCTGATGACATCTCCTCTCCCCAATCTTCCCCAATCTCCATCAGCCCCGCCTCCGAATCCCGAATCCCGAGGAGTTTAGAGAGGTGTTTCATATTGCTCGCTGGGACTTAAGGATGGGTTTAGGGGGGAGGAAGGGAGGGGGAGGATTGGAAGGGGGATAGGAAGGGGGAGGAGGGGAGAGGAAGGGGGAGGGTGGGAAGGGAGGGGGGGGAGGGGGATAGGAAGGGAGGGGGAAGAGGGGGGGGATAGGAAGGGGGAGGGGGAAGGAGCAGGGAAGGGGGAGGAGGAGGGAGGAGGTGGGGAAGGGGAAGGGGGGGAAGGGGTGGGAGGAGGGGGAAGTGGGGAAGGGGGAAGGGAGGGAAGGGTAGGAGGGGGGATAGGAAGGGGGAGGGGGGAATAGGAAGGGAAGGGAAGGAAGGGGTAGGAAGGGGGATAAGAAGGGGGAGGGGGAGTGGGGAAGGGGGAAGGAAGAGGGGAGTGAGGAAGGGAGAAGGAGGGGAGGATAGAAGGGGGGAAAAGAGTGGAGGGGTAAGGGTAGGAAGGGGGGATTGGGATGGGGAGGGAGGGTGGGAAGAGGGGAAGGAGGGTGTGGAGGAGGGGAGGGAGGATTTAGAGGGAGGGAGAAAAGGGGTGGGAAGAATATGGGGGGAGGAGGGGAGGGAGGGATAAATGGGGAGGGGAGAGGGGGGAGTAGTAAGGGGTGGGATGGGGGGGGTAGAAGGAGAGAAGGATGGAAGGGGAAGGGAATGATGGAAGGGAAGAAGGGGAAGGAGGAGGGAGGGAAAAAGAGATAGAAAGAAGAAGGAAAAGAGGGAGGGAAAAAATTATAGGAAAAGGACAGGAGAAGGTATCTCTCTCTCTCTCATATCACCTATCCATCTCTCTATCTCTTCCCTCTCTCTCTCTTATATCTCCTATCCATCTCTCTCTCTCTCTCTCTCTCTTTCTCTTTTCTTCTCTTCGTCTTCTTATCTCTCTTTTGGGCGATTGGTATTTTGTGGTTTCATTGTGAAAGAGAGTTTGTTTTTTTAATTTCGATAAGTTTTTTGTGCCTTTCTTTGTATAATCTTCCTTCTCCTTCTTTTCCTTCTTTTTCTCCTTCTCTATGTTGTCCTGTGTTATCATTTTCCCCATTTTATTTTGCAATTCTTTCTCTCTCTGTTAAAGGAAATCCGATTTTTTCATCTTCCTTTGCTAGCGCCATGTGTTTCCTCTTGTATTTATATAATAATATCTTTCTAATTCGACAAACAAAAATTACGAAACGTTTTCTAATTCGACAAACAAAAATAAGAAAACGTTTTCTGAAGGTGGCCTGAAACGTTTTATATGTTGTCTGAACGTTTTATTTTCTGAAACGTTTAATCTTCCCGGTATTCTTAACTATTTTCAGATCGTTACCATTGTAATGTTGCGATAAAGGTGGTTGGGTCAAGTTTTAATAATAATAATAATAATGTGTGTGTATGTGAGAGAGAGAGAAAGAGAGACAAAGACGGATAGAGAAGGGGAGAGAGCGATAGATAAAGCTAGACAGATAGAAAAACAAACAAAACAAAACACAAAACACACACAATCAGACACACACACACACACACACACACACAATACAAACACACACACACACACACAACATCTCACACCACACACAATCACACACATACATCTCACACACATCACAATCAGACACACACATACAAACAACCCCCCTTCCCAAACACACACACACACATACAAACCCCCCCCCCCACAAACACTCCCCCCCCAAAAAAAAAAAAAAAAAAAAAAAATATGCAAGACAAAGAGCAGAGCATGTCCGAGGTGTTCTCTTGATCGTCCCAACCAGTCCCTCGCCATCCTCTTAATGCATGCAAAAAAATTATGCAAACTTCCAAGCTCTTGGTGGATAATTTGCTCGACAAGAGGCCACCACTACTTCTCCTCCATCTTGGGAAAGAGGGTGGGGGGAGGAGGGGTGAGGTATTGGGAGGGTGGGGTGAGGAGGGGGGAGGGGGGAGGATGAGGGAGGAGGAAGGAAGAGAGTAGAGGTGTGATAAATATGATGATTTAGGGCGACTTCGGGGTATGTGTATATGGTGTTGTGAGGGAGGTGATGGAGTGAATAGATTGTATTATCGTATTTCCTTATTGTTTTATTGTTATTTTAGTGTTGTTGTTATTTATTATCATCATCATCATCATCATTATTATATTATTATTATTATTCATTATTATTATTATATTATTATTATTATTATTTATTATTATCATGTTTATTATTAGTCATTATTATCATTAATCATTGTTATTATCATGTATTATTATTATCTTATTTACTAATTATAATCTTTCATTAATATTATTACTTATCAATCTTCGATTTAATATTATTATATAGATCACTCATCTACCTATTATTACTAATCATCATCATATTATCATCATTACTATTATATCATTTTATTCATTTCTTGTATTTTCATAATCATTATGATCATTCTTGGCACATCACCTTTAAGGTATTATCTTCCTCATGCTTTCATTATCAATCATTATCACTTTTTTAGTCTGACAAATTACTTTGATATTTTTTCTGTGAAAAACAGAGAGGAGGAGGAGGATCGAGATGATGAGAGAATGAAAGAAGATGAAGAAGCAAGAAAGAAAGAAGAAGAAGAAGAAGAAGAAGAAGAAGAAAGAAGTAAAAGAGAAGAAGAATGAGAAGAAGAAGAAGAATAAAGAATGAGATAGACAGAAGAAAGAGAAGAAAGAAGAAGGAAAGAAAAGAGAAGAATGAGAAAGAAGAAAGAAAAAGAAGAGGAATGTTGATAAGAATGAGAAGAAGAGATAGAAAGAAGAATGAGAAGAAGAAGAAGAAGAAAGAAGAAGAATGAGAAGAAGAAGAAGGCAGAAGGAAAAATCAAATAAGATTTCATAATGTCTACAGACTTCCTTACAAGACAAACAAACAAACTAATCACAGAGCAGGCGAGAAGGTAAATAAACTAATAAACCATAATAAACACTTATTCCTCCATTCTTGAAGACACCTCTTTCTACTTTTCTTAAGATCTTCTCCCCCTCACCTCTCTCTCCCTCCCCCTTCCCTTCCCCTCTCCCACTTCTTTCCTCTTCATCCCTGTCCCTCCCCCTCTCCCCCTCTCTCCCTCCATCCTCACCTCCCCTCCCCCTTCCTCCCTCTCCCTCTCTCCACCTTCCTTCTCTCCCTCTCCCCCTCTCCCAACTTCTCTTCTCCTCTCCCCTCGCTCCCTCCCTCTCTCCCTCTCCCTCCTCCCTCCCCCTCTCACCTTCCCTCCCTCTCCCCTCTCTCCACCTTCCTTCCTCTCCCCTTCTCTCCACCTTCCTTCTCCAATTCCCTCCCTGTCCCTCTGCCTTTCTCTCCACCTTCCTTTCTCCTTCATATCTCTCCCCTTCCCTTTCCTCCCTCCTGCCCCCCTCCCTCCTTTCCTTTATCTCTCCTCTCCTCTTTATCCTTATCTCCATTTCCGTCTTTCTCAGCATCTTTCTCCTTCATCCCCCTCTTCCTTTTCTGTTCTTCTTCCTTTTTCTCTTATTCTTCACCCCCCTCCATTTTCCAACCTCTTATTTTCTTACACTAGTTTCTGTCTCCTATCTCTCTTCCTTTTCCTCCTCCTTTGTCCTCTTTCTCCTAGCTCTTCTCCTCCTCTCGCTTTCCCCTCTTTCTCCTAACTCTTCTCCTCCTCTCGCTTTCCCCTCTTTCTCCTAACTCTTCTCTTCTCCCTTTCCCCTCTTTCTCCTAACTTTCCTTCTGCTTTTCCTTCTCATTCTCCCTCTCCCAATCCTTCTCGTCCTCCTGCTCCATCTCCCTTTTCCAACCCTTTCCTCTTCTTCCTCTTTCCTATCCCCTTTATCTCCCTCTTTTCCCGTTTCTCTACCTTCGCCTTCTCCCATTTCTCAATCGCCTTCCTCCTCCTCTTCCAATATTTTTCTCTTAATTTTCCCAATCCACTTCCTCTTCCTTCTCCCTTCCCTCCTAACCCTCCTTTCCTCTTTCACTTTTCTTCACCCCTAACCTCTTTTTTCTTCTTCCTCTCCCTTTGCATTTTTTTGTCTCCCCCTTCACCTTCACCTTCTTCCCCTCCCCCACACTCCCAATCCTCAGTCTCCCCGTTTCTACCCCCTCTCTCTAACTCTCCTGCTCCCCTCCCCCTCACCTCTCTTAAGGCTCCCACCTCCTCCCCCCACCCTCTCTAACTCCCCGCTCTCCCCTTCCCTCCCCAAACCTCTCTTAACGCCCCCCTTTCTCCCCCACCTCATTTTAACCCCCCTTCCCTCCCCACCTCTCTTAAGGCCCCCCTCCCCCTTCCCCCTTCACCCCACCTCACGTAACTCCCCTACCTTTCCCCCATCCCCCTCACCTCTCTTAACGCCCCCCTCCCCCCACCTCTCTAAACGACCCCCCCCTCCCACCTTCTTAACTCCCCTGCTCCCCCCTCCCTCCCCCTCACCTCTCTCCCCCCTATTTAACTCCCCCTCCCTCTTTAACTCCCCCCTTCCCCCCCCACCTCCTTATCCCCCTTCCCCCCTTCCCCTCCCACCTTAACGCCCCTTCTTCTCCCTTCCCCCTCCCCCCACCTCTCTAACGCCCTCCCCCTTCCCCCCCCACCTCTCTAAATTCCGCTACTCCCACCCCCTCACCTCCCTAACCTCACCTAACTCCCCCTTCCCCCCCCCACTCTCCTAACTCCCTATTCCCCCCTTCCCCTCCCCCACCTCTCTTACCTCCCCCCTACCCCCTCCCACTCTCTTAACTCCCTCCCCCTTCCCCTCCCCTCACCTCTCTTACCTCCCCCTACCCCCTCCCCACCTCTCTTAACTCCCCTACTCCCCCCCCCTCCCCTCACCTCTCTTACCTCCCCTCCCCCCCTCCCCACCTCTCCTAACTCCCTACTCCCCCCTTCCCTCCCCCTCACCTCTCTAACTCCCCCTACCCCCCTCCCATCCCCTCACCTCTCTAACTCCCCTCCTTCCCCCTTCCCCCCACCTCTCCTACCCCCCCCCCCCACTTCTCAACAACAACAAATCAATCCCGAACCGCATCGAATTGGATCAGATACACCTGCAGTCATTACGTAATCGCTTAATTGTGATCGAGTTGCAAAGTTCAAAATTGCAACACCTGCAACAGTGGGACTTAGGTGGTCCTTTCTCGTTCTTCCTTTCTTCACTTATTTCTCGCTCTCTGTTTCTCTTTCTCTTTTGTGATTAATCGTCATTATTGTAAAATTCGTTTTCGTTATCGTTTTTATCATTTATTGTCATTAATAATGTTATAATCTTATCGTCCTTTT